CAGCATTGTCACCTCGTAAGCCTTTCCTTCTGCACAGTCTGAATTCGCAACTGACGCTCTCAGCTCTCTATTATCGTGATTCCACTCCTCCGTCACCCTCCAGCCGATCGTCCAACCAGGATCCGCCCGATTACATTTCCCGACCGCAGGACCTGAGCGATGAGGATGAACCTGAAGGCTATGGTGCCCAGCAAGCGAGTCATGGCTATTCCCGAAAGAGTCATTACGATAGCCGTATAGAACAGATTCTCTATGAGAACCCGGACATGCCGATCCTCATCACGGACGCCGGGAAGAACCACGAGGGGGGCGGTAGTTTCATTGTATATACGATACGGACTGGAGTATGTGCCCCTTTGAAGCGCATAGGACTGAGAGGCTCACGGAATCTAGGATCTGGAAGTCCGACGACGATACTCCGAGTTCGCTTCCTTGCGACAGACGCTGGTGAACCTTCATCCTACGCTCGTCATCCCCCCGATTCCAGAGAAGCATACAATGGCAGATTATGCTGCCAAGCCTACCAAAGCCAAGGAAGACTCCGCCATCATTGATTTGCGCAAACGGATGCTTGCCGTCTTCCTGAATCGGTGTCGCCGGATGAAGGAAGTTCGGGAGGATGGAGTCTGGTGGAGATTCCTCGATCCGAACGTTAGCTGGGTATGCTGATAGTATCTCGGTTATGCAGCTCACGCCAACTCAGGCTGACTTTATTTTAGAGCGAGGTTCTTCATTCCCACCCTGCATCCTCCGTGCCAAAGAACAACCTCAAGGCCCCTCCCCTCGATCCCGCTAACCCTACGGCTGCTCACGCCTGGCTTCCCGTTCCCTCGAGCTCCGCGAAGCTTAAATCGTCACCGAGCGGTGTGGCCTCGGGCGCTACGGACCGCGGAGACGCCTCGGCCAGCGTACCTGGACCTGAGGTTCTAGGCCGTTTCCCGCCCGAATCGAAGAAACTAAGTGAACAGGATTTGGATCCGTACTTTATCAATTTCGAAGCCTCTACGCGAGAACTCGAGCTACTTCTTCAAGGTAACATCGAAAAGGTCAACCGTCGCACGCTGGCGCATTTGTCGTCCCTGTCTGCGGATCTTATGGAGCTGGGCGCCAGATACAACGGTTTCTCTTTATCTGAACAGTCTCCGACCGTCGCTGCGGCTATCGAGCGCATCGGTCAAGCGGCTGATACGTCCTACATTGCGACCGAAGAATTGTCGTCCTCGCTGAGCGCAAGTTTTGCGGAGCCCATGAGGGAGAGCGCCCAGTTCGCCAGTATTGTGCGCAGCGTGTTACGGTACCGAGTACTCAAACGCGTGCAAGAAGAGATGACACGAGATGAACTGGCGAAGAAGAAAACCTTACTGGACTCTCTGGAGAGAAGCGAGCTCGAGGCCAAACGTATCGAGCAGTACCTCAGCCGTACCTCACCTCATTCTGCGACGAACCGACCTCAACGCTCCTTGTCTGCCTCATCAGCGGCCAGTGGCACTGGCAGCCGTGAGGGTGATGGACGCTCTGCGGGTTCGGAAGACACAGCTTCTGCGGACTCGGATTTCCCGCCTACCCATGGAGAGGGGATCAGCTCGCAGCCGCAGTCATACCACACCTCTCCGCCTCGGAGGCCCGAGTTGGGGCCCTCCTCTCCCCCTGCTCACCGCAAAACGTCAAGTGGCACGTTTGTAGCGAACAAAATATTTGGTCGCATCAGTCATGCGGTACACGGCTTTGTCGACGTGGACCCCGAACGCACGCGACGAGACCAGATTGGAAAGACCAAAGAGAGTTTGATACAGGTTAGTTATCAGTTGACGTCTTGCATTGCTCAGCACTGATGTCCTTTCTCTACAGCTGGAACAAGCACTCGAGGTCTCCGAGAAGGATGTCAAGGACGCGAGTGCCGGGGTATTACAAGACTTGAAGCGGTTTCAGAAGGATAAGGAGGCCGATTTACGGCGATATATGGTAGGTTTGTCCTGTTCGGATAAGATGATTCGCGTCGAAAGGCGACCATGCTGATTGTTGATAGGTCGCCTATGCTCGCTGTCATCTGGACTGGGCTCGAAAGAACCTGGAAACTTGGACAGAGGCCAAGGACGAGGTGGACAAGATTGTCGCTCGATAGTCTGCACACTGCACATACTCGGTGGATTGTATCGCTTGAATCAAGAAGCCGCAGGGTCATGACACGGGGCGTTGGTGGTTGTATTCGACTACATTGCAGTTGAATTTTGACGTTCATATATTGCAGTCTTAAATCAGCACGGTGTGATACCACTATAGTACACTTCTGAGACTATAGGCCATTTCCATCTTTTACCCAATAAATACCGCTTGACCTTTGTCGTGTGTGCCTGTGTGCCTTTGTCCAGAAGATCCTCTGACGCATTGGACAGGGATCAACACAGTATATAGCTCAATTAGGTCGTAAGAAGCAAGGAGCATCCCATTACTCTAACTCTTTGAGCAACTCCACAGCGCCCATTGTCAATGCTGCCATTCATTTCATGGAAGAACGATGCAATGCGTACAAGTAGAGATGATGAGTGATAAGTATTGCTGTGGGGCGATAATACTGCAATGTGGCGGAATGCTTGACTGCCTCAGGAACCTATCAGCGACCATGGTTCCCAGCACGAGGAATTATCACCGGAGCCTAGAAAGGGATCTGCTAACACATTGTCCAGGTCCAGTTGATCCATCATCATGAGCAGAAATTAGATAGGTGCTTATCTGCCCTTGATGATCAGATTGATTTATGAGATGACTTGATCTACCTTTTTCTGCAGGTGAGACCACTGTGGCTCGTACATCCCACTGTTACATTTCTTCTTCCTTTGCACCCATTTTACTGGCCAATGATCTGTCCTTGCATCCAAACTATTCAGGATCGAAATTTTAACAGACCCTAGGGATCAGGAACGTCACTTACCAGGTACCACTGCCAGTAGCAACGTAATGGTCCTGGCTTGAGTGCATATCTCCTTACCGCTGGTGGATCGCGAGTTGGTGCTATTGTCACCACTTCTTGCTTGCTGCCATCATTGGCGACGTCTTTTGCACTTTGAACCACTCGCTCGGTGCTCCACAATCATCATTTGGATCAGCTCCAAAAGAAGGAGCGAGGACCCAGGAGTTTTCCCGCGATCCGCGAGCCCTACATATCACGGACCTCACATCTGTCTGCCTCCCTAGATGGTTATGTACCACATCGCCCCGTAGCAGTTCCATCAGATGCTCCGCAATGATGAAATTCAGAGGCATACACTCCTGTCCGGGATGATTGCCAGGGCATCCGAGTTCTCAGCATGGCTTCTGCCGTCTTATACGCGGCTCGGAGGCCAATCTCCGTCACGGCCCGGGTCAATTTGGCCATCAACCGCTCGCCGTCGTGTCATCAAAATGGTCGTGCTGATCGCCCTCTTCTGCCTTGTCACTTGGGCACTATGTACGCGCATACCGCAGAATTCCACGCAGGAGACACAACAACCGCAACAGCCGCAACAGACACCTCAACCTCACCCGCAGCCTGAAGACCCTTTCCCGCCCACGCATGCTACTGACTTCAAAATCCATGACCCGAGCATCATCCACGTCGATGACACGTACTACTCGTACAGTGTAGGCGAGCATATTCTCATCCACCAAGCACCCAGTCTCGACGGGCCGTGGAAACACACCGGCACCGTCCTCGCCGCGGACAGCGTGATCCCCAAGGGCGACCGGAAAGCCCCCTGGGCGCCGCAGACCATCCGCCACGGCGACACGTACTACTGCTTCTACGCCGTCAGTCACTCCGGATGCCGGGACAGTGCCATTGGCGTTGCCACATCCAAGTCGCCCGGCCCTGGGGCTTGGACGGACCACGGTGCGCTTGTGCAGTCCGGGACAGGAAGGGGGTCGGGAGAACACCCGTTTACTACCTCCAATACCATCGATCCCAGTGCGATCGTCGCAGAAGACGGTCAAGCATACCTAATGTTTGGGAGCTTCTGGTCGGGCATCTGGCAGGTGCCGCTAGACAAGGCCCTGATTTCAGTGGCAGGTGAGACGAAATCCGAGGCACGGCAGCTGGTGTACATGGAGAAGGCGCCGCTACCGGGGAGCAACAACCCCAACCCGCTGTGCCGGGAGCCGTCGGGTGCCCGTCCCATCGAGGGAAGTTTTCTCTCATACCATGAGCCATGGTATTATCTCTGGTTCAGCTATGGAAAGTGTTGCAAGTTCAACGCGAAGAATCTACCTCCCCCAGGAAGAGAGTAAGTGATCTCTCCGCTGAATCGGCAATGTAGGTCCTGACATCTGCAACAGATATAGCATCCGAGTTGGTCGATCCAAGAGCCCCCGGGGGCCATTCGTGGATAAGCAAGGCAGGGACCTAGCCAACGGTGGCGGAGAGATCGTGTATGCCTCCAACCGCGACGTTTACGCACCAGGGGGGCAGGGAGTGTTGTCAGAGAAGAGCGGTGACACTCTATACTATCATTACTGTAAGTACTCTGATCGGTACAGAGATCGAGGTAGACGCTGACCTTTCCAGTGAACAAAACTATAAGCTATGACTTTTGGGTAAGAACATTCCAGGATCTGAAGAGTCAACGACTAATTGGTTCCAGGAGGCTCGACTGGGATATAATCCGTTGAAATACGTGGACGGCTGGCCTGTCGCCCAGTAGATGCGACGATCAAATCAGGATAGACTAGATAAGACGCACATAGACATGCCCTAGATCGAATGCAAATAATGCATAGTCTCCAATAATGCAACGACTTCATGGTAATAAACAGCAGAGAAACGTCTTCAGTCTAAGATATATACACCACATCTATACGCACTCAGCCCTCTGGTCGCCCAGTAGTCTATCTCTACCGACTCAAAGCACAAACACCAAACCAATGAACGCCGGCAATCTATCACCGGCAACATACCCGTTCCAAGAGGCATCATCAACAACCTCAATAACCTCCCCCCTATCATCGCCTGTCCCAAAATAGACTTGAATTCACCCCTCTTCCAACCTCTTCCCTTCGACCCCCTTATCCGCATTCGACCCCCACTCCCTAACCTTGACACTATTCCCCTTCGTCGTCCGTAACGGCGACAACAAAGGCGACGAAATGATCCTCACAGCCGCACCACCACCACCACCACTCTCCTCCACCGAAGCCTGTCGCCCAGGCACAGCCAACGACCCCTGCCCCCGTTTCCCATCTTCCGCCCGACTACCCCGCGAACAATCACGCGGGCTATGCTTCCCCTCGCGTAGACGGAGCGTCCCCTCCTCCCCGTCAAACTCAAGACTAGGACCAAGATCCAGAACGCTGATCTCGCTATCGCTGAGGAGGAGACTCCGCCGTCGAGGGGGGTATTGGTGGATGTCTAGTGGGTTGGTCGCGGTATAGCCTGTCATTGCAACGTTTGTATTCGTATTTGTGCTGTGGAGGCGGATGGTCGGGTGAGGCGTCGGGTCTTCGTCGGCCGTTGCGCTTGCTTCTTTGGACATTTTGCGCAGAGTTGGGTCTTTCTGGTTGATGAGTAGTGGATGAGGTTCTGATTGATTGATGGACGAGGCGTTATATGACGGGAAGATGCGAGGAAGAAGCGCAGGTGGGTGAGGGAGGTTTGACCAGTAGAAGAACGGCGAGGGTGCAGATGAGCAAGAGGCATAAGGCTATGGGTAATTCTTGATCGTCCATGCGGTTGCAGTGCTTATTGGTTTACGGGGAAAGAAGGGCATTTTGGGTTGTCTGGTGAGGTTTGGGTTGTAGAGGAAGGAACAGGTGAGTTATATATATCGCGGGAAGTATCAGATGATAAACCACTTCTTTCATCTGGATCTCCATGTGAATAATCAAAGAGGCTATGACGTTCCGAAAATTCTCTTACTTGGAAATAAGTCTTAGATTAGAGAGATGACAAGTGGTGATGGTGAGGCTCTTGAGCAGGTGACAGCTTCATCGGTCATCTGCTCGGCCATCTGATGGACACTCGAGACATTGTCACTTCCCATGTCTTACTTATGAACAAGTACTGTACCACTCATTCCAGATGTTCTACCGTTTCCCAGAATGAGAAAATCTGATAAAAGGAAAACACTTTATGATGCAAAGAGGGAGGAGCCGTCTGAAAATCCTCTACCGTCCCAGACAAAATAACAATGCTTTTGAACACGGTGCTCACCAGATGCACCTTCATGACTCTTCGTAGACACAATGTAAATGCATGACAGCTCGTATCGGCCACCCATCGAGTAGTAGATTCAAACACAGACCCTCAACACCCATTTCCAAACAATAATTATGTATGAACACCAAGAATGGCTGGCTAAGGATGAGCGATGCAGACATCGCTCCTCACCAGACAGAGGAGGTACCATCAGGTAAGAGAAAAATAACTAGTCGTCGACTTCATCGCGGTATTCATCAGCCATGCAACAAGCGTGATTCCTCCGCGATAATCGCCTCATAACTTGACCAGGCCGGCATTTCGCTCAGTCCGAGACGATCCGGTCTTCATCATTCACTCGTAGCTCCACCACGGGTAAATCTTCATCGTCATCGCCGTCTAGTGGCGGAGGGATGTCCTGGATCGGAGCTTCCTCCTCCATGGGCGTGCCTGGGAATACTCCCTGACCGACTGGACTTCCGGTCAATGCGGCGAGGCGCAAGTCGGAGTCGCTGAGATCTCCCCCGCCCACCGCTTTGTTGCTGGCATCGTCGTCGAACAAATCCTCGTCATCAGAGATGGATCCCGGAGGTACTGTGGTCATCTGTGAAAGGCCATGAGCATCTGTGACTCGGTCGAAGGACCACGTGGGCTGGCTTGAGTAGGGGAGCGGGTTGGCATAGGCTCCATCGCCGAACTCGTCTTCATCAAAGCTCATACCTTCCAGTCGGTTTGCTTTCGCAAGGCTCTGCTCGCCAGCGGCTGGGCTGTCTGAATAGACGGGAGGCGACTCATCATCGTCGTCATCACTGTCCTCGTTCCTCGCCCGGATTCCGGTTCGCAAACCACCATCTCCCGCTTGGTGAGCTGCTCCGACTCCGGCTAAGGCGCTCGACGACCCATTGCGGGAGGAGCCGCCGAGACGCCGCCCGTCCCCCGAAGGCGACTGCCCACGGGACCCAGCCGGGGAGTTGTCCTCGCTGGCTGGTCGAGTCGACGACTCGGTGATTTCTTCCAAGACCTTTCCGCCCAGCGGGCGGTCAGAACGGCGACGGTAGAACAATAGATAGGCGGCGGGAGTCACCACACTTTGGGGATCAATTGGTCGTGAGACAGACGAATCTACCAGTTCTCGTCAGTAAACACAGTTATTCTTGAAGGAACGCGGTCACAGAAGGCTCTTACCATTGTACTCGTTCCATTCGCCACTCATAAAGTTCTTCGCGTAGGCCGTATAGTGACCGCCTCCTAATCCACCGTAGTGGTTATCAACCGCGAAGAGATCATAAATTAGGCTCTTTCCCTCTTCAGGCGCTTCGACACGGCCGCTCATGTCCAGCCCTTCAACGGGAAAGTCGACCAGGACATCCAGTTTGTCCCTGAAACCCCTGCTGGCGCTGAATCTCTTGAGGTGCATGACAAGGATGTCGGGAGTCTTCCACAATTCAAACTTCTTGCTGGCTCTGCGATGCTCCTTGCAGCGAGGGCAGTACCATGCATCATTCTCGGAAAGAATCTCCTCTTTGTTGAACTCGTCAAGACATTCATAGAGCGTAACGCCCCTCTTCTTTTGGTTCCGGCGAAGATCACGGCGTTTGGCGAGTTCTGGATCAGGAATGCGCTCCACGTTGGTCCATGTAGGTGTTCCACGTAGCCCGTCAGTGTCCTTCTTGTCCCCACCAAATAGGGCATCGTGGGCTTGATCGGTCCAATCCAGCACAATACCTTCGCCCGGGCGGATCAGAGGGCGCTCGTTGGATTGGGGCTTTACAGCCTTAGGGCGACTGATGTTGGCGAACATGTCAGAGTCACTGTCTGAAGCACTGCCGGCGCTTGCATCCCGATCCGAGTCATCACTGGTCTTTCGCTCGGTCACTGTACCGGATGTTGTCTGCGACTTTTACACTGTTGTCAGTTTGCCTGTCTTCTGTAATACATATACTCCTGCGGGTGTTTACCTTCTGTTTGCTAGACAACTGTGCCTTGACCCTGGACAACATCAATGGATAGTCCTTGATCTCGTCCACTGAAGACCAGCCGAGAGGCACAACCTCGTGGGATGATTTGACGATCTTCATATCGAAGAGGCTCCGGAGGCCAGGTACAATAGAGCTGCCAGGGCTCGAAACAGCATTTTCACGCTTGGCGTCTTGTGAAGGAGTGTCCATCTCGTCCGAAGCGTGAGGCATGGAGACGTCCACCAAACCATCCTCACCGTCCACAGACGAGGTCTTGATTTTAGAATCTGCAGACTGTGCATCGTCTTCATTCATCACAACGGTATCCGAATCCTCCTGAGTCGCCTCTTGCTCATCAGCTCCCATGATGTTCTCCTCATTGAGAATGTCTCGTGTTGTCAACGTGGCAACAGCTTCAAGAACTTTGCGGAGGATGGCATCGTAGTTTAGAGCCTCTTCTCTGTTGATAATAACATACAAAGGAGCGCCGAAGAGTGACCGCTGCATATTTCGGCTGTTATTTGACTTTGACCGGCATTGCCGGTTGAAGATGGGCACAAGCATTCGGTCTGCCTTGGGTGAGTCAAAGCTTGGAACTTCCTCATAGTCTGAACGACCATAAGAAAAGTAACTCTTCTGGGGCTTGTCGGGGTTGTAGTTGGTGGGCACGGACTCAACCTCGAAGATTGCGATGTCATCGCCTCCGCCAATCTGGCAATCGGCAATGGACGCAGCGTTATCGAACATCTTGTAGAACTTGCACTTGTAAATTTCAGCCATGACGAGACGCTGAGGATCCGAGCCCATCTTCTTGGCCACGAACTCCTTGAGCGCCTTGATGCTGGCGTTCTTATCAATTTCCACGTCAACAAGGACGGGCTTGCGGTGGAGAGGGAAAAAGAAGATCTCCTTGCTCCAAAGATTCTCGATCGGAAGCTGAAGCGTAAGATTGTTGAATGGATCAAAGATGATGCTGACCTTCTCGCAGACAGGACAAACAAGAGTCGACTTGTACATGCCCGCAAAGAGATCCGTGATGACCGAGTCATTGCGGGCTTTGTAAATGTCCCAGCATTTATTGGCAAACTCTTTGAGAGCCTCCTTGTCGTGGACCATCTCGTCCGTGGAGTCTGGCTTCTCGATATATGGCTTCTTCTGGATTCTGTTCAAATCTTCTTGCAGCCCATCCAGCAGGAACAGCAGAAATTCCTGTGAATCCTGTTGCCCGTATCCCGAGAATGCTGGACCATAACGACCAATGGTATGTTTCAACTGGCGGGGAGCGAACGACGACTGACCCGCTTCGTCATAGATCATACGAAGAAGGTTCGCGTACGCCTTGGCCACGTCACCGTTATGGGCGAGAGGATTACTGGGGTTGAGATCTCTCTTATACACATCATCTACCGAAAATGGTCAGTAAGATAGCAGTCACAGGCCAAAAGGAAAGGCGAGAGTACATACTCAGGAAGTAGTAGGTGAGTTCCTCCACACTGCGCACGCACTGTAGAGCGGAGTTCATGTAGCAGGTGTTTCCGAGGTTGCTCAATCCCGTGCACCCCCTGGGCTTTCCGTCTTTACGTCGGCCCCTTATAGGTTCTGGAGCGGGCGATGATCTACCACTGTTGGTAGGACTCTTGTTCTTGAGCTTGGCAGGAACGCCATTCTTCATACTGCCACTCGGAACACCCAGGCGATCGAGGGTCTTTTTGGATACTTCTGAAGCCCACTCTCCACCAACGCGCTCCTCGAGTACCACTACATCACTGGTAGACAAGCCAACTCGATCCAAGGTAGATCGACCGTTGAAATTGGGATTATTGGTCTGATCCTTGACGTTATCGACCAGTTCTCGCTGAGCGCCGTCCGACAATGAGAGAAAGGTATTGAGGTCAAGCACAAGGTTGTTGCCGGCATTGGCGACCAGGGAGGCCGTAGGTGCCGGAGAAGCGCTCCGTGACGCAGCGGGAGTGATTGCAGCCGATGCCGTCGCACTTCCCAGTCCCCCGAGGATTCTCCATACACGGACCTTGGTAGACATGTCAATATTGGCAAGTCCCTTCACTTGCTTCAGCCACCTTTGGAAGTTGGTGTGTCGGCTGGACAACACCTTTGCAGGTGGCATATTCTTCTCTCGTAGACTCTGTGGAGTGGTCCCTGCTGCCGGGTTTGCTAGCTTCAGAACAGTGAAGATTGGAGGATTGAGCTCGTGTTGAATATTTTGAGTATCACCCTCCTCCACGGTGTTGTGAGCATAGCGAACAATGGCTGGCGATTGATCGGCCAAGCCGTACCACTGCATGATCAGGTCCCAGCCTTCCTGGGGCACGATCTCAAAGTCCTCTCCCATCTGCAGACCTGGACGCAAGGGAACAAAGGGCTCTCCTGCCTCGTCCATGAAGCCGGTAATCGCCGGGTCAGTGACCAGCACAAGGTCCGAGTTATCCACAGGACCGATTTCTCCTTCAGCTGCCGACTTATCTGCCTTGTCAGCATGGGTCGAGCTGCGAGCGAGCACCCGCTTCAGCCAAGACATAGAGACCAGATATCCCTTCTGTTTCTCCTTCAACGGCTGGGCCATGGTACAGGTCACTTGAGCGACTTGGTCGTCGATGGAAGGGAGGTCGTGGGACGAGCTGGAGGCTTGGGCCTTGGATTCGTTTCGGGTCGCCGTGGGGGCGGTAAAGGTCGACATGCTGGATGGTGTGGGATAGACGTTGTCTGGCCCAGAGTTGTCATCATTATCGTTCGCGTTTCCCTCCGCCGTAGTCGTATCCATCGCGTCTGTGTGCTGGGACAGAGAAACAGATCCCTTCTCCGTCGAACCTAGATCCATCTCCACATCCTGGTCGACGTTAGGAGCCGACCGTTTGATACCCGGAGAGGATGACCGAACGTCACCTCCAGCAGGCGGAACGCTGCCATCTCTTTTATCGGAACCAGACATATCCGTCATAGCGTCGCTGTGTAGGGTGAGTCCTGCGCAGGCGATCGAAGGGTAGTCGGCGGCACTACTGGCGGATTCCGGGGTCGGGGAGCGGACGGCGGCCGTGCCAAGCACTTCTTCTTGCAAATGGGCGGGAATGTAGCGAGGAGACGGGGGCACAGAAGGGCTTTGACTTCGATTCGACCCAGACGTAGACGATGGGCGAGGATTTTGTGGCACGGAAGACGAGTCGGAACGGGAGTGTTGACTGTGACGTCTTCCAGCCTGCGAGGCAAACGACAAACCCGGAAGGGCTCCTCCTGGTCTGCGAGGCTCTGCAACCTTACGGCGCTTTGTGGAAGACGTCGTGACGGTGAGCTGCGCACGTCTCGTGGCAGCTCTGGGTAACACGATGAATGGTCGATTGAAAAGACAGGCCAGTAGATGATGACTTGATGATAAAGAACTGAATGATGTTTAAAAAATAAACCAGCATATAAAAACAAGTTTCTAAAAAAAATAAGGACAAGAAAACCCGCCAAGTGAGGGGAGGAAAAGAAATGAATCGAAAAGAAAATCCGACGACCGTCCAGGCGGGAATCGTCGTTTAGTCAGTCCGTCCCGGTCGCCAGTCCCTGCTGAGTGGTTGAGGCGAAAAAAAAGGCAACTGTGGGGATTGAAACTAAAAGACGGAGACTGGATAGGGTTGAATCTAGTCCACTCTTGAAATTGGCAAGTGCTTTTGATTCTTCTTCTTTTAGTGTCGTGATATTGATGAAGTTAGGAGAGTGTGCGTGGTGAAGTTGATCGTCTTGTGAGCAAACCAGGGAGGAAAGAAAGAGGCAGAGCAGGAGATGGCTGCATATGCGAGATATTATTTCACCGTGCTCGTCTCGAGTCTCTGACTTTCTCTATTGTGTTCTTCAGATGATGCAGGATAACAATAGAAGAAACAGAAGAAGATTGATTCATGATCGTGATGATGGTCTCTACCTTATTGTGCCAGCCCTTGACTGGCTCAGAGTGTTGACCGTCAACACCACTCATCTTGACAGTTGCTATTATTGAAGAAGACGAAAGCAGAATCACGGGCATCCGGCTGAGTGGACGGGTTAAGGTTGTATCTTCTGATATTGTCCACGTATTGTGGGAAAGACACAATCTCGAGTCAAATTCAACTTCCTCTGCTGCGATTAAAGTAGTCGAGTCACCAAGGTACTAATCATCCTAGTTACAGCTTGCTCCCTTTCCATCTGCTTCCACCTCTCTTTCTATTTTCTTCAATCATCTTCACGCCTTGGTATAGAAGCGATAAAGGTCATTTCCAGG